CACCTTTTGTGAGAACATCAGCGAGCTACAGATTAGTAGTAATGTATAGAAGACAAACTTCTCTAGAAGTTACTCTTTCTCTGATAAAATGTCTATCCACTTCAATGTGCTTAGTTCGGTCATGCTGGACTGGGTTATGGGCAATGTTAATGGCTGCCTGGTTATCACAGTATAACGTCATAGGTTATTCTGCCTGTACACCAATTTCTTCTAATAGGGAATGGATCCAGAGAAGTTTTGAAACTCCATGTGCCATGGCCCTGTATTCAGCTTCAGCACTTGATCTTGCCACCACTGTTTGTTTTTTACTCTTTCACGAGACAAGGTTACCCCCAACAAGGGTGCACACTCCTGAAGTTGATCTCCTGTCATCAAGGCATCCTGTCCAATCTGCATCAGTATAAGCCTCTAGTTTCAACTGTCCATGATCAATAAACAATATTCCTTTGCCTGGGTGTCTCTTCAGATAAGCAAGAATCCTATCAACTACCTCTCAATGTTGGACTCGTGGAGCATGCATGTATTGACTTACCACACTTACTGCATAGGAAATGTCTGGTCTTGTCAAACACAAGTATAGCAGCCGACCCACAAGTCTCTGATATCTCCCAATGTCCTTTGCTGGTTCACCTTCTGATGCATTGATTCTATGGTTCTGATCAATAGTGGTATTGATTGCCTTCGTTCCAAGCTTCCCTGTCTCTTAAAGAAGATCCAAGACATACTTCCTTTGAGAGATAAAAATTCCATGTTTTGATCTTGCAACTTCAATGCCTAAGAAGTATCTCAATTCTCCAAGATCCTTAATTGCAAATTCTTTATGTAGATTCCTTTTCAGACAATCAATCTCACTTAGGTCATTCCCCGTGACAACAATATCATCCACATAAACAATTAGGACTGACACCAAAGATCCCCTTCGCTTCACAAACAAGGTATGATTGGATTGAGTCTGAGTGTAGCCAAAAGCATTCAAGGCCTTTCTGAATCTATCAAACCATGCTCCGGGAGATTGTTTCAAGCCATAAAGTGACTTCTTAAGACTGCATACCTTTCCTTTTTCAGTATCACTATGAAAGCCAGTAGGAAGATCCATACACACTTCCTCTCGCAGATCCCCATTTAGGAAAGCGTTCTTCACATCAAATTGAAACAAGAGCCAAGAGTATGAGGCAGAAAGATAAAGAATGTAATGGTCCCAATCCCGAAAAGGTCTCCAACACCTCCTCCCACTGGTCTCATTTCACTCCCGAGCTTATTTTCAACTCCGTGACCCTCCGTGCTTCTCAAAAAATGTAAGGAAAATAACTAAAATATGCAAGAAGATCAAACGAAACACTTCTGGAACCAACAACACCTTTCTGGTGTCCTAGACTGTCTTCCCACAAAAGATTCCTTTTTTGTRGGATGGAAGAAGAGAGAGAAGAGGCAGCCGCTTTTTCTAGAAGCCTCCAAATCAGGCAAGACTTGAACCGCCCCTTATAGAAAACGCCAAGGAACCCTAAAAAATTAGGGCACCACTTCCTAGGTCAAAATTGAAGAGTCCAACAGAAACAGGACTCTTCCCCTTTCTCCAGTTTTTCTTGATTTTGAGGAGAAACTGTAGATCAGCTATAGGGCACACAGATCCACCAAAAAACCAAAAACTGGGCTTACCTGAGATCTTCAATCAGCCTCTTAAATCACCATGCAGTCGGCCGATCTAGGGTTTCATGAGAAAACAACTCAAGGAACCTCCGACCTACTTTGATACCAAGTAGAAATCACTGATTGCAGATTTAGTCGAATTTCTTGTGAAGGGAAAGAGGAGGAAGATAAAGATTTCAGCAGTAGAGAAGAAAAGAGTAGGAAGTCAACCAAGATTCTTAGATTAACCCTAGCCGCCAACCCCTCATTATATTTATACTTAACTTAAAAGATGAAATATTACAAGGATTCCCTTAGTAGGGCGGCTACTAATGTAATTGAACAGTCACAACTTAAAAACATAAACTAATGGGCCTAAAGCCCAACAACTTCGTAACTAAATAACTTAAAATAAGAATAAAAACAACTAGGCCCGAATCAACACCTTCCCTGACCTTGATCTCCCTATTGCCCTTCGCAAAGGCAAACGGAAATGCACAGCTCATTGTATTTCCAAACACCTGTCCTACAGCCTCCTTTCCTCTTCCTACTATTCCCTCCTTGCCTCTATTTCCACACATGTAACTCCCCACTCTATCCCAGATGCCTTATCCAAACCAAAATGGAGAGATGCTATGATGACTGAACTAGATGCTTTAAATAAGAACAATACTTGGAAAGTTGTGGATCAGCCTAAGGGAAAGAACCGGTTGGCTGTAAGTGGGTGTTCACTATCAAGTATCATTCTGATGGTACTGTTGATAGATATAAGGCCCATTTGGTGGTTAAAGGATATAGTCAGATGTATGGTATTGACTACTTAGAAACTTTTTCCCTAGTAGCCAAGATGACTTCAGTTCGGGTTTTGCTATCTTTAGCTACTGCTTTTGACTGACCTCTTCATCAATTTGATGTAAAGAATGCCTTTATGAATGGGGACCTAAATGAAGAAGTCTATATGTCTTTACCTCCAGGGGTGTATGGGAAGGAGATGCAAGGAAAGGTCTGTAAACTGAAGAAGTCTCTTTATGGCCTTAAGCAATCTCCTAGAGCCTGGTTTGACAGATTTCGGGCTGCTCTTGTTGCTTTTGGATACACACAGACTCAGTCGGATCATACTTTGTTTGTTAAGAGGAGAGATTCCTTAGTGACCCGCCTGATTATCTATGTTGATGATATTGTGGTTACAGGAAATGATACTCAGGAAGTTGTTCATCTCAAGAGTTTTCTTAACACTGAGTTTGAAATTAAAGACTTGGGAGAACTCAGATATTTCTTGGGAATTGAAGTTACCAAATCTAAGGATGGTATCTTCATTTCTCAACAGAGGTATGTTCTTAATCTCCTTGCAGAGACTGGGAAACTGGGGGCTCAACCTACTTCTACTCTTATTTATCTAATCATAAGTAGTCAGCGACTGAAGGTGAACTATTGCCTGATAAGGGGGTGTTCCAGAGACTGGTTGGGAATTTACTTTACTTTTGCATGGCTCGGCCAGATATCTCCTATGCAGTTAGTGTAATCAGCCAGTTTATGCAATCTGCCAGAGATACACATTTGGCAGCTGCTGAGAGAGTTCTGTGCTATCTAAAAGGGACTCTAGGGAAAGGTATCTTGTTTGCTAAGCATGGACACATGAAGCTGGAAACATACACTAATGCTAATTGGGCCGGATGTATTGATGATAGGAGGTCTATGTTCAACATGACAGAACTAAACACATTGAGGTTGATAGACATTTTATACGAGAGAGAGTTGCCTCAGGAGAAGTCTATCTACCATTTGTTGCTTCTGAAGAACAGTTGGCTGATGTTTTGACAAAAGGTGTTCCTAAAGGAAAGCTGGTTCATTATATAAGCAAGCTGGGCATGATAGATATCTATGCTCAGCTTGAGGGGGAGTGTAGAGAGACTTGGCCGAATGGGCCCTAGCCCATTAGTGTCTATATTATTAGTTCTTTCATGTTATGTTTTCTTATTGGGCCTTTTCTTTATGGGCCTTTAGTTCTTTTTATGTTTTTCTAAGTTTAGTGCTGATGTGGATGCCTACTTAAGGGCCTCCTTGTAATTTATGTAACTTAAGTATGTTTTATAAAAGATAAGAGTAGGGGAAAGAGGAGAAATTCGAACTCCTCCTTTCTTTCTCCTTTCTTTCTCCTTTCTTCTCCAATCTTCCTCCTTGCTGTCTCCTTCTTCTTCTCTGATTTCTTTTACTTTATTCTGAAATATTCTACTGATTTTATTAGTTTCAAATCACATCTGCCTCTACTACTACCATCAAATTTCAGTTTTATAAAACCAGAAGGAGGACGAATCCAAGACAAACTCAGGCCTGTTTTGACCTGGGTACACTTAGCAATCTCTCCCCACTTTCTCAACAGATCATCCATTTCAAAGTCTGTGAACGACTCTAAAGATTTCAGCCACTGTACCACCCTTATATGAATCAAATCTATCAGGTTTTCAGCCCTTCTCTCTTTTTCAGAGAAAATCCTTGAATTCCTTTCTTCCCACAATGACCAGCATACAGCAGTCCTTAGGCATCTCCACATAGTCCTACCCCTTTTCAGCTGCCACCTGAAAAAGGAAGAAGAAAATAGGTTCTGCAAGTTCAGAGGAGGGGTCCAGCTGCGCCCAAAAAGGGAAAATGCCCATTCCCAAATAGTTCTTGCAAACTGGCATGGAACCAATAGGTGAAAACCAGTCTCCCCATCAACTTTACAAAGAACACAACAGTGAGGGGATAAGCATGTCTTCCTCTTCACTATAGTTATTCTTCCTTGCACACTTATATTAATTTCTGCTAAAATTCTTCCAACTAAAAGTTACCTATTTGGTCTGATTTCGATATGAGTTATATAATTACCAACCCAGTAAGCACAAGGACATTTTATACATGAATCTAGTTAAATCCAATTTACAGATAGCCAAAAAGTCTCAGATGAAGTTTTCCACTTTTGACATTTTCTTCTATTTTTTATCTTTTATTTATTTGGTGTGGAGGAGGTATGAACTTTGTCATTCTAGGATTAGATTGACATGTACTGATTTTAGATATAAAATTCTTTAGAAATTCATATGAAAATTTAAATGGATCAAAAAAGCTAATTTCTACAAAATGTTTATAATCACAATAGATATCCACAGTCTTGGGAGGGGTGTACTAGAAACAGACCTAAACATTCCTATTTTTTTCAGAAAGTTGTCTCTCTCATACATGAACTCATTTTCTCACACTTATTAGCCAGAGATTTTTCCACTGCACTAAGCAGAGGCCCCTTATAATGTAGAAGAAATATACATATAAAGAACAGAATAAATTACTTCCTCCAAAGCATTATTAAGTGACAGAGAACATAATATCACCTAACTCACCAAGAGAGATCGTTCATGTACTTCATCAACTATAACATGTGTGACACCAGTCAAGTTTTTGTCACCCTGCAAAATTGAAACCTCTCAAGAAAGAGACAAATATAATGTACACATAAAATAAACTACATTACCTTTCTTTTTTTTTTGGGGGGGTGGGGGAGGAAGAAGGGGCTAAGAGGAATAACTCATTAAATCTTAGATATAATGAAAAATCAACTTCTAAAAAAATATTTCTAATTGAAAATGAGGAACTTTAACAAAACTCAGAAATGGGATCAAAAAGATAATACATGAGCAGAAAAAAACAGAACCACCACTACATATCATCCCAAAGCAAAAGGAAAAATGAAAACAATAGTTACATTACAATAAATGCATAACTAAGTTTAAACCCATACTAACCCACCTACCTTGGTATTAGCATTTTGCATCCCACAAAAATGAGAACAAAATTGAAGCATCGACATCTTCTGCTACTATACTATGATTCATCCCTGGCATCAATATCAGAAGCAGATTGAAATCCTACACTATATCTTAAAAGCATCTGCTAATGAACTGCTAAGATGAGAGGATACTCAACCCAAATTATAACCTGAGCCATAGTAATCTTTTGAAAGCTATGATGCCCAGATACAGATTTGGACACAGACATGGATTCAGGAAGTATGGACTAGGGATACGAGTCTCCATTTCCTAAAATTCTAGACATTTATGCTGGTATCCAATATAATATGCTTATATAGTGCACAAGGTTTAACATGGTGTCAGTGGAAATGCCGGCCAGCCAAATATAGGAAACATGTTGGAAATGTCAGAAATATCGTGTGGAAATATTGTAAAAATTATATACATGGTGGAAGCACTGTAAAATATTAAAAAATATAGAATAATATTTTTTTGAAATGATAAGAGAAGCATAGGCACACCTTTTAAATTATTATCTTGTTCCAAATTATTAAACAATGCTAAGAAACTAGGGTTATAGACAAAAAAAAATACATTCTAAAATTGTCTTGAAAACCTTATGATTCAAAACTACATTATAGAATGAGTTAAATCAAAATTTAAATTCATAGAAAATTCAAATGGTTAATAGATCAACCAAATAATCTATTACACAAACAAACTAATATTTAACTTCAAGTTTGAAATGAATATTGAGCTGGCTCAAAATGGTAATCATTTAAATTAGGCGGGCAATAATATTTCTACTACACATATCTACAATATTATCACCAACTTACGTTATAATCTTTTTTTTTGAAGGATAACAGTGAAAATTTTATTAAAATAAAAAAGCCGTACATCTCAACAAATGGTTGTCAAGTTGACAAACCACATACAGATCTGATCAAACTGAAAAAGAATCAAATCTATATGGATTCAGCTCCAATGTGCCCCAGAAATTCTCAATCAAATCAGATTCAAATTCCTCACTAACTCTCTCCTCCTCCCTTTCCCTCAAACCCCTCAACTTCCAGCTAAGTATCCTCATTTTCTCCCCCTCCCCCTCACTTTCCCCGACCCCCAAAAGTCACTCAGTGTCATCCAGACCCTCCTCTTCTTCCCCTTCATTGTCCCACCCCTTGTTTTTTTCTAGAATTTCTTCCCTTCTCTTCTCTTCTCTTTTCTTTTTCTCAAACTTTTCAAAAGCTATTTTCGCAAAGCCTTCCCTTCCCCAAGAAACTAAACCATGGGATTTTCCTATCTCTACCACCCTCTCCACTAGTTTGTTAATGTTCACCTCTCCATTCTGTACTACTTCCGTGGCTTCTGTTGCTTCTTGGTTCTTCTGGTTCTGGTCTGAGCTCTCTCTCTCTCTCTCTCTCTCTCTCTCTCTCAGTTTCTGCCCCCAGCTTTTGGAGCTGCTTCTTCTGGACTCTGGGGACTGCCAGAGTGCCTTCTTTTTCTGTTGTATACCCTGTTCCAACCGACCTTTCTTCTTCCTCCTTCCTCTGCCCTTCCTTCTTTCTTCTCCTCTCATCCGAAGATCCCTTCGCCTCTGGTTTCATTTCTACCTTATGGTAAGTGCCGTCCATTCCTTTCACTATCAGTCTTAGATCATACCATTCCCCTGCAAAGATTAAAGCAATCCTCTTTGGGACATCTGCTGCTACATTTTCTACTTCTACCAAAACTCTCACCATATCCATTTTGTCCCAAGTTCTAATCCTATCGTCCAGCCTTACGAGTCTACCACAGGCAGCAGCGATCTCCTCAAATGTTCTGTTACACCACACATGAATAGGGATTCCCACAACATCTATCCACACCGCACATTTCCGTCTGTCTTCAACCAGTTCTCCGACCGCCGGCAACCACCAATCTAGCCTAAGATCGAATGTTCTCTCTTTTTCTTTCTCTTCCTCCAGCACCTGTTCTGCGAACTTTCAGCTATGAAACATTAGTAGCAAGAGCTCTGCCTGCAACTTCCTCACTCCCATGACCTTATCTCTTCCCCATTCTACCATCGCCCAACTCTCAAACTCCGTTATTTCAACATCTCTCCCAACTATTCGACCTATCAAGCTTGCTTGGAAGATGTTCATTCTCTCCTCCAATTTCCTTGCCTTTCTCACCTCCACTGCAACTTCCATATTGCAGAGATACTTCCTACGTGATCACTTCCACTAAAACGCATTTTTGGTGTACATGATCACTGTTCTTTATCTCTTATACTTTGCATAGTGCTGGTACATGTCGATTCCAGTAAAATTTCATGCCACTAGTCGCTACGCATGGAAATTGAAATATGTTGTGGAAATATTGGGAAATTTAGGGACATTTTAAACCATGATCATGCATTTATATATATATATAGCTTTTGAAGATAAAAGTCATTTCTGAAGACATATATCTTGCCAACTTTAGTTAATTCTAGTATGTGCAAAATTTTTATAGTAAAATTCGTTAAAGCATACTATTTTACATATTCAGAAGAGTTAATAATATAGAGTATGTGCAGAAGTATCCATGCAGTATCCAGTATTATATCCAACAAGTATCGCATCTGACATCAGTACAAAGGCAAGTACAGGTATCTAGGTATCATAGTTTAGAAGCTCTTCCAGTGATAACAAGCCAACAAAACCCACCCAACATATTGGGCCTCGTTCGGATCTCGATAAGTCATTTACTTGGGCAAATGCACTTATCCAGGCAAGTGATTCCTGGGAAACACTTACCTGGATAAGTGCACTTACCAGTGTTCTTTTATTCCCCAGGTAAAGTTGTGCAATGACAGTTTTATCCAAAAAAGTGACATTATTGAAGGGACAATATTGTCCCATCACGTATAAGCAATTTTCTGACAGAAGGGTAAGTGATTTACCTAAATCTTAGGAGGATATTACTTGCCTAGGTAAATGAGCCACTAGGGAATCATTCTTTTCCATGGGACCCACTAATAATGAAATACGATCACGGAATTATTTCTTTTCCATGGGACCCACCCCCACTTCCCAGAAAATGAACGACACCTTGGCTACATGTTTCACCCATCATATCCAGCTCCTCCCCTCAATGACTGATCATGCTAAATAGACCTCCCATTCAACAACCACTTTCAAACAATGAGATACATCCTTAAGGTTGTGCTCCATACCAGGACCCAAGCAACATCAACCTTCTAACTGAATATCTACAGACAGCATAAATGAAACCTTTCCAACCAACTTTCTCTTAGAATATGCTTACAAGTTTTTTTTGAAAAAGATACATGACAATGCAATGGAGAATGAATGCACGCAGTTTGTTTATACTTCTCAATCCAATGATATAATAACAAACAGAGAGCACATAAATTAAACAGAACCAAAGTAAAATCACCAGCACAAAAACAGTAAAAGGTTACTACATTGAAGGGGAAATAATAACTGAAAAGTGTGACTACTTGTAATGGAGAATTAAAGAAGCATATGAAAGTAATATATTATAACTATATGAAAACCGTTCAATATATGGCAAGCTTACCGCCAGTTTCCTAAGCAGAATGCCTGTTGTGCAAAAAAGAAGCTTGGTTCTTTCATTCCTAATAACAGAGTATCACAGGAAAAATATGAAATTTTTAGACATACAAATGTTCAATTATTAAAGCACAAAGTAAATGGGCATGCCAGTTTAATAGTTCATCATGAATAAGAGTCTCAATCAGAATATAATGAAATAGAAACAGATAAAGCAATAATTAAGTAAAAGCCAATAATAGCATGCATCTTGATGTATCACAATATTTACCACATTGTAGAATGTAGACAATAAACACACGGCCAATAAGAAAAAAGCATCCACTTACAATCTCTTGTGCAATACCATGAGCCAATTAAAAGATTAATAAGAGGGGAGAAAAAAGTCAATATTTGGATAGAAAATGAGGAACGGATGGGACAACGGATGCCAATGAGAGCAGACCAGAATAGCAGTTGAGGGGAATGGATGGGACAACGGAAGTTGATGTTGAGAAGAGGGGAGCTGATGTTGAGAACAGGACCAAATCTCTCGATGGGTAGAGGAGTTAGGGGAGCACACAGGGGTGGTAATCATTGGGGGGCAGAATCTTGGTATAACAAGTCTAAGAATACAATGGGTGGGGAAATTAGCTAATGCTACGGTGGACTGTCTAGCCAAGCAAGGGGCAGCTAGGGAACTTTTGTATTGGGCACAACTGTAACTTATTATTTTCGTTTTCTTCTTTAGTGGAGAGAACTTCAGTTCAGCAATGCTAATATTTCTAAATTAATAAAAGGTTTTAATTATTTATCAAAAAAATCTTAGTATAACAAGCCAGGGACTGAATCAGGGGTGTGACAGAACTTCAGTTCAGCAATGCGGTCACTGCGGGAGCATGGCCAGGGTTTGGAGAAACATTAGTCCAAAAGGAGGGGGATAAGTGGTTCCTTGAAACGGAAGAGAGAGGGATGGAGGCAAGGAAGGAGTTTCTCAAGGGATGTTTGGTGGGGAGGTTTGAAAATCTGGTAGTTTAAAGGAAGTTGAATACTGGGCATGCCATGCTTGGGCTCCGATTAATGGTGTTTAAGTAATCAAGGCCTCTTCCTGTTTATCCTACCCTCGAGAAGGGAAGCAAACTGGGTATTGGAGCACGGTCCCTGGAAAATGGGGGAGATACCCCTACTGTTGGACTGGTGGGGAGCAAGTGTCAGATGTTTCCTACCAGAAGTAGAAGGCAAAGAAGATCAACCAGAAGAACTCTGGATCAGGGTATTTGGACTACCATTGATGCTGTGGTGTCCAAGTCTGATGAAGGCAATAGGGGATCTCTGTGGGGGTTTTTTTGGAATAGATTATACTCCGGAGGAACTTCGAACTTGTGAATGGATGAGAATTAGAGTGAAAGAGGGCTGTGCTATACAGGAGAAAGTGGATCTGGTGATGGGCAAGGTTCTGTTCTTGACTTGGATCTGGCAGGAAAAACGTCCCAGTGTTGGCCTGAAGAAGAAAATGAAGCTGGAGGCGGTTCAGATTTTCAGGTTGAGGTTCAGATTTTCGGGTCAAATAATGTAAGAGAATACTTTCATAGTGACACCTATTCCCAACTTGAGGGGGAGTGTTAATAGTTCATGTTTCTTGTTATGCTTTTTATTATTATATCTATTATTGGGCTTGGGCTGTAGCCCTTTATCTTTATTGTTTATAGTGATTCTAGTTATAGTTGCCTTAGTGGGGGCATTATTGTCCTTGCACACAGATTTATGTTTTTAATATAAATACTAATTAGTGGGGCGGCCAGAATGCTTTTTGGCACCCCTTTCTTTTTCTCCCATCTTCTTCTTTCATCTTTCTCTTCTTCTCAAAGAACATTCTGCTTCTTTTTCACTTTCCTCTCTTATTTTTCTTATTTCAATGTTCTACTGTATCTCTACATAATTCATGTAATCTATTAAAATGTGCAGTTCTTAAGTGTTTATGCCTTTAGTTACTTCAACCTTAGATTTAATGTCATTGATGCTTTTGTGGGATTTGTAAGAGTTCCCCTAACGTATCCAAGCATATCCATAGCTGTCCACCATGTTCATGCTTATCCAAAGTGTATTCATACTTGCATCGGTATCCAAGTTTCCCGATATGATACACAATACCGATATTTTGAACGCTGATTGCAACAGGGGCATTTTACTCCTATAATGTGTATGTTAAGAAATAAAAGATAGGAATAGGGACTAAAAATACTTCTTCCAATGTTCCCCCAATTTTCTTCCCCTACATCCTTCCTTCCTTTTCTTCTCTTAGCTTCTCTTTCTGCTAAAGCATGTAAAATCCTACTTAAAGTAGCATCTAACAACTAGATGAGAAAAAATAGGCAGGATCTCATTGTACAACTGAATTTTAGAAAAGCAGATAAGAGAAGAAACTTCAAGAGAGGACTGGTAAAATTGAAATTGTGATATCCATCCAGCGAAAAGAAGATCATTACCCCAACTATATAGCTGAAGCAATGGGCAAGAAATGACACATTTAAATAGCTATAATCAGTTATATTATTTAAGATCAGTTCAAAAACAAAACAAAGAAACATAGTCACCTAGCAGTGTCAAGGCGAACTTGAAAACCAACCAAGCTACCATTTGAACCTGGTGATGGTTCACATCGCTCATCAGCTACTCTTTCCGCAACAGATATCGCCTACACAAAAACTCAGCAGGAAATCAACCTTTAGCTCAGATGCAGAAGGAAAAGCTCCCATTGTATATCAAGAACTCGTGTACTAATAATAACAATTTAAATTTAATAAAAAAACACCACATGACTAACCAAGATAATGTTATTACTATACCCCAACAAGTCATGATACGCACTCAAGTGTGCAAACTCAAGTGGGTTTCAAGTTTGCACTCAGGAAGTTTCGGAAGGCAACTTTCTTCCTTATTTGTAATCATTAAGTATAAAGTGCATAATGGGGGTGTAGTTTGGTAGAGTTAAGTGTCATTATTATCAATGTCATAAGGGAAGATATTGTAATTTTCAAATTTCAATGTTATTTATTTCCAAAAAGAGATACTGTAAATTGGGATAATGATTGTGGGTTAGCAGGCAACGGCTAGGAAAGGTTTTTATTTTTTGTCTTTGGTGATTTCTTATCAACAATCAAAAATTCTCTCTTTTCTTGTAATGAATTTTATTTTATTATCAACAAAACATAATGCTCTATAATCTCGATATGTTTACTGGAACAACAAGGCTTAAGATAGATGAGCACTATCAATAGAGTTTTCAACCAGCAATTTACATGGTGTGCCTCTGTTATAACATAACTAGTTGCATCATTGCCAAGCACAATGATGACCAATTCGATGGTGAAAACTGAAAAGAAGATTTGATACGAATTTGAGATTTACAGTGAACAAAATACTGTTTCCCTTCTAAAGATCACACACAGTAAATGTCAAACGTCATTTTCTTGCTAAATTGTTGAACATCTAAAGATAAAGATTTTTTATAAAAAAAAACTAAATAACATGCCATGGATTTTTAATGTCACAAAACATACCAATAACAAACTAGTGATACAGAAAGTGAAGCTTGAACTAAGACAAGAATATTCAACTTTCAAAGATTAATTTGTATCTCATACCGCTATTCTCCTCGGTTGAGTGCAAATAATGTTACAATATCCACCAAGTCCTGCTTCAATCATGTCATCCAATATAAATTGTGGAACCTACAGAATCATTACTTCAGAATACAACTGCTCAAAATAGAGGGATTAAAAGAACCGGCATCACCTATAACTAGGAAGAATCAATCTTGTAATTAGCAGTTTCTAAACATTAAGGGAATACAAACACCATGAGTACTTGAAAGGCTCAAATCGTAACAATAGCATGAGAAACAATTATTGACCTGAGTTGTCTTTCCACAACCAGTTTCCCCACAAACAACAAGAACATCATTTTCCTCCAGCAATTGCAATATGTTACCCTTCAATTCAGCAATAGGAAGAGCAGCTCTAAACCCTAACATTTCCTGAAAAGCAAAACATCAATATGTCAAAGCAAAACAAGACTCAAAAAAAAGCCACGTCTTAAAACACAAGTTAAATGCAAGATCAAGACAAGACAACTGCCAAGAGAACATACCATCATTATAATATTACTGGAAGATCTGCATTTCATGGAATTAAAGTAATGTCTTAGTTTCTTTGTGTGTGTACGTGTGTGTGTTTGCTCAGAGGGGTGGAAAACCAAAGAAGCGATAATTCATACAAAATATAATTATTGCTTGGTCTCATCTAAAGTCTAACTTTCACCTCAAGACCAATTCTGGATACCAATCTCTTGTTCTATGTTCTCTAAGGTCCACCTTTCACCCCTTGTAATGGAATTGATAGGTCCTAGAAATTATTGGGGTGACTTTTTTTTTCTGAAGAATAAGATAAAAATTCATTAGAAAAGAAAATAGAATACAATAGGAAGGTGATAAGACATCACCTGAAGAGGAAACAAACCCAAAGAGCCCAACAAAGATCTCAAAGGTCCCATACTAAAGCCCATAAAGCCAAATGGCAAAAACCTAAAGCTTTTCTCAAAACAATCTCAAGCACAAGCCAAGAAAACAAATCGAGAGATCCCCATAAGAGCAAAAGCATCCAAACCCACCCCTAAACAGAACCTTAAACCCTCCTTGCTCCACGACCAAAGCCTCAATCTTTCACCACAAACTCATCCTCCTGGCTTGAAGCATCTTCGTCCCAACGCTTGTTGCCATCCCGATTAGGTTTTTTGTTCGTCTTCTCTCCCCTTTTCCTTCTTTCAAACACCTCAAAGACCCTTCTAGTAAACTCCTCACCACCCCAAAAAAATAAACCCAGGCTCTTTCCAACTGTGACCTCTCTACTCACCAGGTTATGAAGAGTTCCATGCCTTGTCTTGTTGTCAACACCACCGTTGTTTTGCATTGTCTCACTCTTACCAAAAGCAGAGCCATCAACACACACTTTGTCCTTTTGTTGCCCCTTTCCTAAATGAGAGGACACAGGCTGGCGTTGCATCGTTGTCTCCCTGTTATCAGTGCCAAATGACCTACTGCCTCTTAATTTTTCCTCTTATAAACCCATTTGTAGTTTTTCGTGGGTCCTGCCCCTGCTAGACCAAGTTTTAGCCTGGAGAATATCTCGTCAAATGCACTGCATTATGATTTATCGAACTACGAGGTTTCTTGTTGATCACCTCAGTAATCTGGTTCTTTTCCTATTCATCAAGCTTGCTCCTACGACCCAGATCAACATCCAATCTTCCTACCATTACCTCCTCGGATTTAAAACCATCCTCATTGCAGCTCCCCTCCAGACTCCCCACGCCCTCTCCATCACCTACTTCCCCTTTCCCCTTATTCTCACAATCTCTCTCATGTGCATCATGTTAGACAGTATATGCCCTAAGCTCCAATTGGACTGATGTACATGAACATTTATTTGTAAATGAATAAAGTACATTATTGCTTCATGTTGATGTTGGTATGTTTTCTGTGAATTACCCCTTAAACTGGACACTTATGAGAATCGTCTAGCTAGTTATCGTCTTCTACCTTAGAACATTTTGTCTATAAAGACGTTTCTGCTTCCAGCAAAACCCAGACCTTCAACCAGTGACCATCTACAAGCAGACTGATGCATCTAGGAACGTCTTCAGGCTTCAATCCTGCAATTCTGAGTCTCACGGCGTGCAGATCTTGAAAATTATAAGTAATCAACTCTCTGCCCAGAATCTGTATCAATCTTTCAATGGTTTCCGCTTTCCAAAGATTAAAGGGGAGACCCACGAGCTTAATCTCAAGATTTTCTACAGAGGTGGGTATCTGATTATAGGATATATGCCAGACCTCCGCATTTACCAAGCCATCTGAAGAGTCCACCATTTCAGTAGTGGGAATCTCAACATCTTCGTCAAACCCAAATAACACGGCCTTCGAATCATCGAAGGCCTTGATACTCACATGGTCCTTTAATCTAAATTTCTCCACAATCGCCTCCAAAATCCTTCACCAATCAGTAACTCTTTTGTCTGGTGATAAAATCACATTTTTCTCCCAAGCTCCTTTCTGCATTTCCAATAACATTCTCTGATTTCTGATTGTGTTACAAAAGATAGCTTTTGGGATTCCATTTTTTATTTTTCCTCCTTTAGCTGTTTCCTGAAGCTATGCTCATCAGAGACCACTGGAACATTGCAGAGTTTTGGATTTTGTCTTTCTTCCAGTATGAACAGGAACTCCTGTAACAAAACTGCAAACAGGAACCACCCTGTTCTCTTTCTTCCTTCCGGTTACACACAGCAGCTGTCTTCTGTTATCACCAAACGTTTCCACAATTGCCACAAACCAACCCTTCACATTCCTCCTTATTTCTGCTTCAATTTTATTATCAGCTACTCCCATTGAACTTTTCCATCCTTTTTTTTTATAGAGAATGCTATTCCATCCATAAAGCCCTTCAACCATCCACTTGCCTCCAAGCCTGGCCTGGGCCAGCCCACAAATTTTAGGTTTTGTGTCTAGGCCCAGAAATTTGTAGGCCAAGCCTAGGCCCAAGTCTTTAAACCCAGCCTGACCCACAATATTATATGTATCTGTGTTGTTTTATATTATAATATGACACATATAATATATTATATATAATATTTTATATTATATAATGTATAGTATATATTTTACACATGTTTTATATTCAAAACATATGTCTATGTTGTATTATAGTATAGTATATATTTCATACACAAATAATTTCTCATGATATTGTTACAATTTGAGCTTTTCTATTTGTGTACTCATGGCGTTTTTGGTGGAGAACAATGTGTTGTGAACAACTTCCCGATGGTGAGAATTTTCTGACCAGCATCAATAGAGGTGTATATTGTGGGTCAAACTTGCTAACACCCCCATTAAACAGAACCACAGAACTGGAGAAAGTGAAAGAGAGACTAAAGAGCAATTTCCCTCATTTGTAACTCCTTGTAGATATGTTTGGGATTTGGGCATAAGGAGAGGTCTAAGGGATAGTGAGGTAACAGTGCCCTTACCTTGATCCAAAGTCTTGAGAGAGTGTATTTGGACCCCTCAAGTAGTAACTGCCAAATCTGGACTCTCTCCCCATCAGGTACCTTCACCTGTACTTCTTTGTACCCCTAACCCCGACTAGTGACAGTCAGGACGCCTATATTGCCTAGGATTGGTGATTTTAGTTGAGAAGTGTTTCTTGGTAGGGTTAATACATGTGATTTGCTCCGAAGAAAAGACCTAATTGGTGCTTATCTCCTCACTAGTGTCTTCTCTGTAAGACTAATGTTGGCAAACGAGAAGGGGCAGAATTTTATGGAGGAGAATGAAAGCTGTAGTGTGCTGGACAAATGGGAAGAAAGAAATCAAGGATTTTTTCTTGATAAGGAAAGAGCTAGGGATACCCTGATGAAGTGATTACAACCAGGCTGATCCATTGGATGAAAACTTTGAAAATCTTTGAAGGAGTATCTACTGCTGATCTGATGAAAAAGCGGAGAGAAGCGGCTGTCTCTGCTCCCTTGAAAGCTGTTATAAGACCGTCTTGGACCCCTCCAACCAATGGTTTTATCAAGATGAATTTTGATGGTAGTAGTGAAGGTAATCCTGGACCATCAGCAATTGGAGGTGCTTTCAGAGATGAGGATGGCATAATCAGAGCTCTTTTGTCCAGCCCTATTGGAGATGGTGATTCTTTGAGAGCTGAAACCCTTGCTGTGATGGAAGGAATTAAGAAAGCTAAGGAGTTAAATATTTCTAAGCTAATAACTGAAGGAGATTCAAAGCTTGTTATTGGCTGGCTTCAAAAGGAAGAGGAGATGGGATGGTGGGACTACATTAATGAAAAAAGGAAGTTCGGGTTTCTTACTCAAGGAGTGGAAATTCAGCAGCATTGGATTAAGAGAGATGCTAAATGTCTGGCAGATGCTTTGGCTAAGCAAGGGGTGGGAAAAAGCAATATTTCTGGGCTATTTTCTAATTTTTTTCTTCCTTTTTGGGGGGGAGCTAAGAGAGTTTATCTCCCCTCTCATCTTTGTAATGCTTCTTTTATTTTAATGAAATTCATTCTGTTATTGATAAAAAAAAGACTATTCCAGATGTAAAACAGTTCCAGATATTATTGTATTTTTCCATGATGAGGCCAGGCATTGCTTATGCTGTTGGAGTTCTTAGTCAGCATATGCACTCTCCCAAAGCATCCCATCTTGTTATTACAGAAGGGTACTTACATACTTAAAAAAGCACCCTAGCAGAGGCATTTTGTTTAACAAGAATGGTCACATCAAATTTGAAGTGTATACTGATGCAAATTGAGCAAAATCTGTGGATAATAGGAGGTTCACCATTGGCTATTGCACTCTTGTGGGAGATTGTGCAAAAGTAGAGTGTCAAACTATGGCCTATGGTGTAGCAGAGATTTTGTGGATTAAGAATCTTCTTGGAGAGATGAGGTCCACTATTGATGGCCCTATGTCACTGTACTATAATAATAAGGCTGCTGTTAATATATTGGCTAATCCAGTTGTGCATGATAGAACCAAGTAGGAAGTGTTTTCTGCATGATTTGGAATTTGACAAAATTGGAGATTTAATGAGAGATAGGTTAGAGAGAGAGTTTGGCAAGGATGAAATTGGGGGTCAATGAAGTAATTAAGGGTGATAAGGTACCTGAGCCAAATGAGTTTGGCAAGAAAAAAATGTTGGAGAAAAGTGCAAATGCAACTTTCATCTCTCTTAAAGTGGGTGAAGCTTGTAAAGTTAAAGATTTCATACTAGTAAGTTTGATTTCCAGCCCATACAAAATTATCGCAAAAATGCTTTCAAGAAGGTTGAGATCAGTATTACATGAGATAGTGGGTCCAACTCAAATTCTATATGGGGTGATGATTACAAGTCGGTGTGTAGGTGCAAGGTTAAAAAGTGGTAGAGAGGGGCTAATTTGCAAGATTGACATTGAGAAGGCAGTTCAACTTATGGTAAACCTAGTTTGTTTAACCAATAAAAACAAAACCACATTTCAATGTTCGTCCAAAGAAAGAAGTTACAAGAAAAAATTTTGAAAAGCATATACCAACCCTGTACTTCTGCACTTTTCCTTTGTTCTCTAGTTCCTGCCTCAAATAGGCACTTTCTACTTCCTTACGATTATTTTTTCCTGTAAGAAACATTAGAAATTCAGGAAAATAGATAATAACATGACAGCAGGAAAATCCACAAACAAGAAAGCAAGAAGCACATTAAAAATAAAATATAAGAAAATAAAATCCATGAAAAAAAAACATTAGAGCTCTTATGCAAATAGAGGACTCTAATGGTTAGATGGACAAAAGGACAAAAGGGACAAAGGTTGAAATGCTGATAAAAGATCCTTAAGAGTATCTCTCTATATTAGTAGCAGGTTGCATAAGAAACACAAAAGGTAATAAAGAGAAAATGTTGAGTAAAGCAAAATAGAGAGAGAGAGAGAGAGAACAGGCTCCCACCAAAAGAAAGGTATCCCAAACCCTACACAATCCAACCCCCCACATGGGGAGAAAAATCAAATCAAAAACGGGCAACAAAAATTCAAAGCACCACCACTAAAAATTCCTTAGAACCCATCATCCCACTAACCCTAAGGGCTTTCTTTTTGTTTTTGATAATACAAAAAATTATTAAAAAAGAAAGGATTACAATGCAGGTGAAGAGGATTCACCAATAAACCTTAAACACTACGACAAGACTACAGTAGCAGAGAGAGAGAGAGAGAGACAGAAGGTTGAAAAGACCTGCCCTTCGAAGAGAATAGAATGATCTCCCAATTGACCAGGCTAGCATTTATAACAAATCTCTAAGTTTAAGAGAGTTTACATAAACTCCCCTTGTTTATGAAATAAATAGAACTTCCTAAAATACCCAATTAAAGTTATACAACAGAAAATAAAAAATAAAAATAAACCCTCTGACACATGAATAAGAAAGAAACAAAAGAAGTAACTCTTTTAACAACACTTCTAAAATGTTTCATTTAAGGAAGAGCCTTTTGACCACTCCAGAATTAACCACCGAAAAATTACATAAGAAAATAATGTAGGAAATTATGTCTTTGGCATTTCTAGCTTTGTTTTCAATTATTCTGTTATTTCTACCTTCCCCCTAATGCCTCACAACGCTGCATGAGTCACCGTATTCCAGTACAATTTTCCTCTTTTTCCTAATCCTCTGCCTTGCCATTGCCACTGGAGGTCCTCCACCTTCTCTGGGAACACCCAAGTATATCCAATGAAGTATAGGAAATAACACCACACCTTTCTCGTGACAGGACAGTGGAGGAGAATGTGTTCAGTTGTCTCTCCATTACTGAGGCAAAGAGGACAGACACAGGGGCAGATACATAATCTGCCTTTCAGCTTTTTCTGAATCAAATCATAAGTGTTTATTCTCCTTGTGCAAGCCTCCCAAACAAAAAAAAAAAGACTCTAGGGGGGATATGTAAGCACCAAACCTTCTTGACCGGAAAAGGAGAACCCCTGATCTTCCAACACTAGAGCCTTGAAATAGAAGTTAGTGGAGAACTTGCCGGATGGATTAAGTTTCCAAATCCTTTGGTCAGGGGTAGCAGGAGAGATGTAGACCTCAGTAAGAGAGCGTAGCAAACTTGCTATTTCAGCGATCTGTACCACTCTTAAGGGCCTTTTGAGGTATAGGTTCCAATTAGTTCCCGAGGGTGAGGAGAGAAGGCTCAAGGCTACCGTGGCTTCATGAGATTGGGAAAGATTAAAAATTCTAGGATAAGTGTTAGCAACGGTATCCTCACCCCACCACAGATCAGTCCAAAAATTGATTTTATTTCCTTTTCCCACCTGATATCTAACAAACTCAAGCTGGAGTATACATATATATACCATGGATCACATAAATACTATAAATATATTATAAAATAATGTTGTACTTAAATGTGATGGGTACGTGGCAAGTTATTTAATTTTTAAAGTAATTGACTAGGGTTCAAACCCAGTAATTTTCTTTATAATACATATGTATTAACTATTAAAGCAATATGTACATTAAATATTCATAAATGAACACAGACAATGAAGTTGATTAATGGTAACAAGACAATATACATGGGAAAAAAGGTTGTGGGTTCAAATCTTACCATTTGCATTTTGAAAATTCCATACATTTGAGACCCAAGTGGTTTTAGGACACTGGGACCGATAACACCGGTTCACCAGTTTTTCGGTTAAACCAGACAATCAGCCGGATTTTGGCAGTTTTATACTTATTCCAGTTTCTAGGGTAAAACCTAACCGAATATAGGCCCAGGTTGCGATCAACCGATTTGACAATCCAGTCCCATCCAGTTTCCTAATCACTGTTTTTTTTCTTATAAGTAGAGTTTTTCAATATCAAACGTTTGACATTCTAAAATGGAATTACTGAACAAAATGTATGGAATTAAATAATCCAAAACGTTTCATAATGTTTCAGCAATTACAATAAAAGAACAAAATTTTGTACAGCTTTGGAACATTACTTTTTTATTGATGTAGGAATATTTACATTTTCTTCATATTGAAAACATTCTACCCTAATTTAAAATTAATCAGCTTGCCCATTTTTTTTATCAATAACACAATTCATTAATTATCACAATAATTACAAAGAGGAAGACAAACTTTCTTATCTTCCAACTACATTATGAGCCCCAACAGAAGAAACAAGAGAGAAAGAGAGAACATAAGAAGAGAAAAATTAAATTACATCTGTGCCCAAAACATGACATCCCTGTCCACCCCTTGTTTAGCTAGCCCATCAGCAAAAGAATTAGCTGATCTTTTTACCCAATTGATTTTAACTTCCATTTCTCGAACCATCCATCTGAATTTCCTCTTCAAGTTACTATAACTCCATAAACCACTCTCTTCTTTGTTCAACCACCCAACCACCACCTCCGAGTCTCCTTCAATTATAAGTTTTCTGATATTCATCTCCCTGGCTTTCTGGACACCCTCTATAACTGCGTAGATCTCATCTTTGAGAGAGTAACCCACTCCAATTGGGCCAGAAAACATAGCAGAAACGACCCCATTCTCATCCCTTAAGACACCCCCAATCCCTGATTGTCCGGGGTTCACTATGTTACTTCCATCAAAGTTTAGTTTTATGAAGCCCATAGGTGGGGGAGTCCAAGACACACTCACCCCAGCTTTAGTCTGGGTACATATAGCAATCTCACCCCACTTCCTCAGCATATCATCCACTATATATTCTGTGTAGAGCTCTAGGGACTTCATCCACTGAATAACCCTTATATGGATCAGGGCCCTCAACTCTTCAGCACCTCTCTCTACATTAGAGAAGATTCTGGAATTTCTTTCTTCCCACAAAGACCAGCATACTGTTACCCTCAGTCCTCTCCACATAGTCCTTCCCCTTTTCATACGCCACCTGAAAAAAAAGGACCGAAAAGGCCTTGCAAACTCGAAGGAGGAATCCAGGTACACCCAAAAAGAGAGCAAGTCCACTCCCAAATAGACTTTGCAAAATGGCAAGACATGAGAAGATGAAAACCAGTCTCCCCATCAACTTTACAAAGAACACACCAATGAGGAGACAAACAAGTATTGGGTTTCCTCTTTTGGAGCAGATCACCAGTATTGATTCTTTCCAAAAAAGGCTTCCCAACAAAAACTACCAACGTCAGGAGGGATTAGCCTGCACCAAACCTCATTAACATGGAAAGGGGGGGTTACAGAATTGGTGGGCTGGCTTAGTATTTTAAAGAAAGAGGCATAGGAGAGAACCAGTGAGAGTTGGGGTCCAGATTTTGGAGTCATCCTTAAAAGGGTCCAAGAAAACATTATCAAGAATAGAGAGGAGAAATGAGATACTCTCTAGGTCTGAGTCCTTCACAACCCTTCTCAGACCCAAATTCCAACCAAACCCAGAAATGGAAGAGGGTGGGGTCAAAAAAGAGGAAACTGACTCATTTTTAAAATCAGAAAGAGCATACAAAGAAGGAAACTGGTCCTTAAGAGGTGCATTCCCCACCCACGTTTGTTCCCAGAATTTTATAGAGTTGCCTGAGTTCAAATCATACTTGATAAGAGAGGAGAAATCTGGTAATAAGTCATGAATGGCATTCCAAGGCGAGGAACTTGTGGTCCTAGCCAGAATTCCAGCATCTCATCCGTTCAACTCCAGTCCATGTATGCTTACCACTATTTTGCCCCATAGTTTATCCTTCTCTAGTGGGAATCTCCACAACCATTTCCCTAAAAGTGCCAAATTCCTTTCCTTAATATTCCCAAGCCCTAACCCACCATTGCTTTTACTCCTAGTCACCACCTTCTAGCTTACCCTATGGTCCCTCTTCTCCTCTCCCGACTCCCAAAGGAAGTCTCTCATCATTTATTCTAGTTTATTAGCAACCTTTACTGGGATTTTGAACACTGAAAGGAAATAGATGGGTAAATTTGCTAGAGTAGCCTTAATAAGCTTGCCCATTATATCATTTATTTAAGTAATGCCCTCATACAACCTCGTGCTCATGATTGCATCTAAAAATACTGTTCAGTTAAACCACCACCTCAACATTTTTTGTCTTTTTTTCGAAAAACAAAGTAAAACGTTAGGTCATTCTAAATATATCATCTCTTCAGATATTCTTTTCTTTTTTTAAAGTATATAATAAAGAAAATTATTAAGGAAGAAAAAGGCAAAGATTACAAAGGAGGTGATAAGGCATCACCCGGAAAAAAAAAAGGAAAGAAAAGACCCAAGTATCCAATCTCTTTCTCAACCCTACAGACCCTAAAACCTACAGAACAGAAAATAAAACCCAATCCTGTCAACTTCCTCCCCCAAAATACATTTGGATCATCATCTCAGAAACTCCCTAGACTTACAACCTCAACATCATATCCTCGGATGGACCACACAACCTTTCCCCGAAAACAAAAATAAAACAAAACAAAAATACTACAAAAAAAGATTACAACCTACAAATCCATCATTTTTTCTACAACTATTAGTCAATTAAAGCCAAATGACTCCACTTTTACATATGATAAAGACATAAAAGGTCCAGAGACATACTTTCAGGCTTTGCAGAAGCAGCAGAATACAAGCTTTCCTGAATATCTGGTATCACAAGATTCTCATCAAGAGCATCGTTCATGAAATCCACAGAAGTATTTGATTCTGAATTGCCAGAATTCAATAATGAATCCACAAAATCAGCCCTTCGAATATCCTCAGTGTCCTCTATCTTGGCCAAGGATTCCCCTGTAAACTTGGAAATGTAACCTTAACTGTTAATTAAACCAGACTGTTAGCACTAAACTACTGTTAAAAATACGGGAACATAAAAAGAAAGGAAAAAATTTGCTAGTGATAATGCTTGCTCTCTCATGCTAAAATGTTAAATGTATAAAGAAGTTCACCTTCCAGTAACTTCTTAATGAATGAAGAGTATGGCTCCGTAATCAGTCGGTGAACAGGAAAGTCAGGAAACAGGCGGTAAAGAGCAAATGCCGCCACCCTATTCTGTGCATCCTGCAGTAAAACCCTTTGCATTTAGTTAATATGAACAATATTCATTAAGAGCTATTTGGGTCCAACTGAGTAATGATAATTAAAAATGTAAACTGGATTGTCTTTTTGTGATCTGTCCTGGAAACAGGACAACAGAAAAAAAAATGTATAGATGTTCACCATGTTCAATATCAACATACAGGAAAAATGGCTGCGACATTATTAGATGTACCCAGTATCATGCTGATAGAGATAAGGCAATTGTTCAATATGAGAATTTCTGAATTTTTAATGTACTTTTTGTATTTTGGTAGCAAAGGTGTTTTAGTTATTTGACCAAGTTGTTTGCAGGTCCACCTAGAAGTTTTCTTTTTCCCGTTATACTCTAGGTACATTAAGAATCAATCATAAATGAGAAGTTAGCTACTTAAAGCAACTCTCTGAGCTGATTATTAGTTTAGAAGGAATATGGCCAACGTTGGAATGTGTATGTATGTGTATGTGACGTTTCAAGTGACAAAAATAGCTATAGATATTTTAAGTGAAATTGTACATATTATTGCAATAGTCAGTGGTTCCCATAAACCCAAAAGTACTTTAGGTGCCTTCCAGCCACTTCTTAATCAATGAAGAGTATGGCTCCATAACTAGTTAGTGAACAGGAAAATCAGAGGAGATTGCCTGGGACTTGGGGCTAAGGAGAGGAGTTAGGGACGGGGGAAGTCACTTCTCTGTTAGACCTGTTAGCAGCTTTTGAAACAGTCATTCTTGATACATCTTGTCCAGATAGTAGGATTTGGGCTCCCTCCTCAGGGCTATTTTCTTCTACCTCCTTCCATGTTTTGGTTCTCTTCTCTTTTGTCCCCTCTCTGATCAAGGAAGTGTGGTGTAAAGCTGTAAGCCTATCCCCCCTAAAATTCTAGCTTTTTGTTGGGAGGTAGCACTCAGTAAGATAAATACTACTGACATGCTTCAAAAAAGGAGACCTAACTGCTGTATCCCCCCCCCCCATCTTCCATCTATGCAATGCTAATGATGAGATTAAGCCCACTTACTAATTTCCTGCCTTTTTGTCTCTTGTTTGGGAGTTTTTTGTTCCCTTTTTGGTTGCAAATGGAACCCTCCCTTGGATGTTGCTAACCCTTTTTTTCGAAGAACCAGAATAAAAGATTTCATTAAAATAAAAAGATTCATACAACCTGAGGTATGTTAAGATAACACCCAGCCACATCCTAGCATAGATGCCAATTACACTACAATAAATAAATCAAGAGATAAAGAACTAATCAAGATTACAAGTCTATAACTCAAGAAAATTCCAAAAATTCTCCCCCAACTCTGTTCTTCTAGTCTGAAGGAAATCTGGATGCACCAGAATCCAGTCAGACACCAAATTTACAATCAAAGCTGATAGAATTCAGGTATAGTGTTCTTATAATTCCAAATAATAAGAAGAAGACCCTGTAGAAACAGTAGGGAGAAGAGAAGAAGAGAAAACTGTTCTGGTCGAACTAGAGAGAAAAAAAAATCAACTTTCAAGTCGGCCAGGCTTTATTTATACCTTTCTAAACAAATCAGAATTACTCTTATGCCCTCACTTAAGTGAGAGACACATCAGCTAACTTAAGATCTACTAGTAATTACACTTAACATATAACTTAATGTAAAATGCCTATACAAACCCTCTACAGCCAACTCTAACACTCCCCCTCAAGCTGGTGAGTATATGTCATATAGTCCCAGCTAGTTACATATGAAGTCCACTCTTCCCCAACTCAACCCTTTGGTAAATAGATCTGCCCATTGATTTCCTGTGTTCACATGTGTTGTACTTATCACTCCATTAAGCACATTCTCACGTAAAAGTGACAATCAACTTCTATATGCTTTGTTCTTTCATGAAACACTGGATTAGAGGAGATATGAACTATAGCTTGATTATCACAAAATAGCTTCATAGGAGTGTCAATCGAGTACCCCATTTCCTCTAGGAGATGCTTCAACCACACTAGTTCACATGTTGTGTGTGCCATGGCTCTATATTCAGCCTCTACACTGCTTCTTGCTACCACTATCTGCTTCTTACTCTTTCATGTCACTAAGTTGCCACCAAGAAAAGTGCAATACCACCCTATAGTGGACCTTCTGTCAAATATGGAGCCAGCCCAATCAGCATCCGTGTATCCCTCTATCTCAAGACTTCCTCCACAAATATATATAACAAACCACGACCTGGAGCTCCCTTCAAGTACCGCACAATCCTTAGAACCACCCCCCAATGTGGAATTCGAGGGTTCTACATAAACTGACTCACTACACTAGCTGCAAATGAGATATCAAGCCGAGTGGTGGTTAGGTAATTCAGCTTACCTACCAGCCTTCTATACCTTCCAAAATCTTCAAACTCCTCACCTACATCACTAATCAACTTGGCATTCGGTTCCATGGGTGTTTCAGCTAGTCTGGCACCTAACAACCCTGTCTCCTCTAGTAGATCAAGAACATATTTCCTTTGGCACAAATTAATACCACTCTAGGACCTCGCTACTTTTATCCCTAAGAAGTATCTTAATTTGCCAAGATCCTTTGTCTGGAAGTGATCATGCAAGTAAGTCTTCAACCTGTCAATCCCTGGTCTATCACTGCCAGTGATAACAATATCATCTACATATACCACCAATAAGATCTTCCCAGCACTGGACTCATAGATGAATACGGAATGGTCAACCTAACATTGTTTCATGCCAAATTTCTTCACCACTTCACTAAATCTGCCAAACCATGCACAGGGGGATTGTTTAAGCCCATAAATAACCTTTTTAAGTCTACATACCTTATCACCCTCCCCCTGAGCAACAAACCTTGGTGGTTGCTCCATGTACACTTCCTCAAGGAGATAACCATGTAAAAAGGCGTTCTTGATGTCAAGCTGAAACAAGGGCTAATCATACATAGCAGCAAGGGGAGAAGGTGTTTGTGTAATCGATACCATACATCTATGAATAACCTTTAGCAATTAACTGAGCTTTCAACTGCTCAACACTCTCATCATGCAAATATTTAACACTGTAGACCCACTTACAGCCTACAACATGCTTACTAGGCAGAAGAGTGGTGAGGTCCCACATATGACTACGAGTCAAGGCTGAGAGTTCTTCCTCCATTTCTTAGTGCCACCCTAGAGAAATGAGAGCTTCCTAGACATCCTTGGGAACAGAGACAGAGGATAACATAGAAACAAACTGGCGATGGAAAGCCAAAAGGTGAGATACAGAAACATAATTGGAAATGGGGTGAAGAGTGCAATTGTGTTTACCTTTCCGCAAAGCAATAGGAAGATCAAGGTCAAAACAAGAGTGGGGCTGGCGTGGGAAAAACTATCGGATTTGTCGATGGTGACAAAGCTGGGGGAGGAGCCGGTACCTAATGATGCATATACACTTGTCAGATGGGTGGTCGTTCAACAAGAAGTTGCACTAGAGGCAAAGACTTGGTCACAACTAGAACAAGAGGAATGGGGTCCTCAACAGGAACTGGAAGAGAAGAAACATCCAACCTGGAGAAAAAAGGAAAAGACTCAAAGAACATAACATCAAGACACACAAAATAACGTTGGGAACTAGGGTTATAACACTTACCCTTTTTGAGTCTTGGAATAGCCAAGGAACATACACTTAGTGGATCGAGCATATAACTTGTCCATTCAAAGCCCAAGATTATGAACAAAACACACACCCAAAAAAGGAGACAAAGTAGGAAACAAAACGGAGAATGGAGAATGACCTTCAAGGATAGACATGGGCATGCAGTTAATAAGGAAGAAAGATGTAAGCACAGCATCACCCCAAAAGTGTTTGGGAACATTCATATGATGTAAGAGAGACCGAGCAGTTTTCAAAAGGTGGCGGTTCTTTCGCTCAGCTACCTCACTTTGTTGAGGGGTGTAGATACACGAGGTTTGATGGATAATGCCATGTTGCTCCAAATATTCTTGAAATGGTGTGTAAAAATACTCGTGGCCATTATCAGAACAAAGAATTTTAATGTGTACACCAAATTGATTGCAAATCTCAGCATAAAATTTTTGGAAGATAGAAAACAATTCACTCCTTTCTTTCATAAGGTAAAGTCATATCATCCTTGAATAATCATCAACAAAAATTACAACGTACTTGTAACCATTATAATACACTACTCTGTTTGGACCCCAAATGTCCAAATGGACTAAAGAAAAAGGACTCAACATACGACTATCAACTCTAGGACTAAAGGGAACACGACGATGTTTTCCAAACTGACACGACTCACAATTCAAAGTAGAGAGATGGCTCCACGACGGAACAAGTAACTGAAGAGCTTTAAGAGACGGATGACCAAGTCTACAGTGTCACTAAAGAGGAGAAAGAGATGTCTAAAGGGTTGTTGTTGAACCACCTCCATCAAGATAATAGTCCACCAACTTCATGCCCTCCACCAATCTTCATCCTCGTCTTGAGATCCTAAAACACACAAGAAGGGTAAAAAGTGATAAAACAATTAAGAGACTTAGTCAATCTACTAACAAACATTAGGTTAAAGGGAAACTTGGGAACATATAAAACTGAGGATAGGGATAATGAGTCTATGTCAACATTACCAACACCACATATGGAAGATGTAGGACCATTGGTAAGAGTAATAGATTGTGATGTGGAGGACGGAGGAAGGGATGAAAACACACCTGGAGTCCCAGTCATTTGATTGGAAGCTCCAGAATCTATAATCCAATGGGAAGGTTTGGATGCCAGACCAGCCATACCTGAATGTGCAAGGGTAGTCGTGTTCTGCTAAGACGTACCCTGAATGAACCGCTCATACTCATCCCGTGGAACACTCATCATCTCCTTTCTGGAGGCATTTGTAGATGTAGAAGGTATCTGATCAGTTTGCTGAGATTCTTGTCTTGAACCACCACCAGTTACAGCTGCATGATTTGCCCAAGTCAAAGGTGGGCCATGTAGATCATAATAGAAATTGATAGTATGTCCCTCCAAACCACAATGTGTACACCTCCTCTCAGCATTACTATGTCCTCTACCACGGGCCCCCCTGAGTCTCAACCTCCAACACGACCACCACCACGACCGTACACGGGTCCACCACCACTACCACAACCAAGCTGACATTCCCGAGCTCCTCCTCTAACTCCACGGCCTCCCCCTCTCGCTACTACAAATGCAGACCTATCTGATAAAGTGGAGTTCTTTGTGGGTCCAACTGAGATCCTCCGGAGACAAGCAAACACTTCCTCAATAGAGGGAAAAGCAGACCAACCTAGTATCTATGCTCTTACCGGTTCACATTCAGACTTCAACCCTACTAAAAATCTAGTCACATCCAACTTCTCTCTCTATTGTTGCTGAATTTTGACATCAAGTGTAAGAGGATGGTACATGTTCAACTCATTTCACAGATTTCTCATACTAGCATAATAGTCCTCAAGACTCTAATTCCCCTATTACAAATTGAAATAATCTTGGTACAGTTGGTAAACCCTAGTAGTGTTGTCTTGTCTAGAATAAAACTTCATTGCAAGATTCCAGACCTCCTTGGCTGTATCTAAAAACATGATGTTCACAGTGATTTTGGGTTCCATACTATTCCATAGCCATGTCATAATTTGCACATCCTCTTGCTCCCACTCATCATATCTTTGAGAATTAGTTGGGGGGTTATCTTCCCTCACATGCTTCACTTTCTTCTCAACTTTCAGAAAAACTTCAACAAATTTAGCCCAAGGCACATAATTCTCACCATTCAATTTGATAGATGTCATTTGCACATTCAGATAATCAGACAGAACCATCACACTAGACTTGCATTCACTGCTGTCTCCCATGACAGCACAAGGAAAAAGGAAAGAAATTCTATCACTAGCTTGCCACCACTTCACTAATTAGTCACCACACTACATACCAACACCTGATTATTACTAGGGTACCTACTATCATAGGTTTCAGCAACAACACTTGCCGTTGTTCACCACTTTCAGCAATATAAACCATCACAATACACCTCACGAACAGGGAATTTGGTTCTACAACACATCACAATTTGTTCCTCACTACTACACCCATGTAATATACCTATCTGAACTCCCACCAACCAAACTTGCACTGTCACTCAACCTCACACCTGAGACTAGTCCTCTTCAAACTGCCAAGTAGAGGGTTTTCTACCAACCACACAAACCAAAAATAACTCTACCCATTGGAGGCATGAAAACCTCCAGAACAAGAAAACGATCAGTCCTTTTTAGCCCCTCTGTGAAACTCCTATCTACCACTGAGAAATCTGCAAAAGCCTAGGAGAGTATGCACAGAATAGAGGGAGAAAAAAAAAGGTTGATCTGAACTAGTTATCGTTGCTCTGATATCATGATAGAATTCAGGTAATAGTGTTCTTAATTCTTATAATTCCAAATAATAAGAAGAAGAACCTGTAGAAACAGTAGGGAGAAGAGAAGAGAGAAGAGAAGAAGAGAAAACTGTTCTGTTCGAACTAGAGAGAAAAAAATAAACTCTCCAGTCAGCCAGGCTTTATTTATACCTTTCTAAACAAATCAGAATTACTCTTATGCCCTCACTTAAGTGAGAGACAAATCAGCTAACTTAAGATTTACTTGTAATTACATTTAACATATAACTTAATGTAAAATGCCTATACTACCCCTATACAGATGACTCTAACAAAAGCTCAAAGACCTCCAATGTTCTTCTGTTTGTTCTCAAGTAATATTATATTTCTCTCATTCCATAAGACCCAGCAGACTGCAAAAGGGATGCAGCTCCACATGATCTTTGCTTTCTTGCACCCATTAATTCTTGGCCAAGAGGAGAATAACTCTGATGTAGTCGAAAGCTGAAATAAGTTCATTCCAAATAGAAAGTAGAAAAAACTCCATATGATATGAGCCATCCTGCACATGCAGAACATGTGGAAAACTGCTTCCTCATCCAAACAACAAAGATAACAGAAACTTGCCATGCAGAAACCTCTATTCTTCAGGTGATCTGAAGTTAAGATGCTGTCCAATGACACTAACCATGCAAAATCTTCCACTCTAGGGGGGATAGGATTCCCCCACACTCCTTCCACCTGATCAGCAACCATCTGCTCCCTTATCAGTGCCATGTAAAAGGATTTCACAGTAAAAATTTCATTTTTGCATTCTTTCCACCAGTCTGTCTCTATCAGAAGTAGAAATATCAATTTGTTGCAGATTTCTAACAGAAGTAGACATTCTTCAATTTCTTGATCTCTCAATGTTGCTAACCTATTCAGCTCAAGCCTTATACCGTTCCGCTTTCCTAGAGTTCCCCTAAAGTAACACAAAACCCTTCCTGCAGCAGCCTTAGGGGCATGCATAAACTGACTAATCACACAAACAGCATATGAAATATATAGCCGTGTCTTACAAAGGTATAGTAACCCCCAAAAAAGTCTCTAGAATGGTCCCTTGTCTACTAAGAGCTCAACATCATTGGCTGAAAGCTTATGGTTTGCATCAATAGGTGTGGAGGTAGGTTTGGCACCAAGTTTATTAGCCTCAATGAGAAGATCTAACGCATACTTCCACTGTGAGATAAAGATGCCATCTTTAGACCTAGCAACTTCAATTCCTAATAAATATTTCAACTCCCCTAAACCCTTAATCGCAAAATCAGAATTAAGGAAGTTTGAAGATCTAACAAGCAAGTGCAATACCTGTTTTAGCCAAGGTTTAAAATGTCGACGTCGATGGAAAAGTCACTTACCAAAATATAGCACATATGTCAGAAATGTCAAGGGGAAATATTGTAAAAATTAGAGACATTGTGGAAATATTAAGAAATATGTGGAAATATGCAAAGATATTTTGTAAAATGATAAAAGAAGCATTAATACATATATCTAGACTATTATCTTATTCCCAACCATTATATAAAGCTAAGAAACTAAGATCAATAACAAATTAGTAAATGACAAGTTACTGATTTATTATGCATTTTGATGTTTTTACAAGGTTATCTGATATTTTCTTTTCTTATTTTTAATTCTGATTTATTATAAATTCTAATATACTTATTTCACACTAGTAAATAGAAATACATTTACTCTGATTTTTTTAATATTAAAGTTGTAATACATTAATGTTTTATTATAAATTTAATAAACTGATTCTCCCATTTGAAGTACTAAGATTATGATCAATTCTGATTTCTTATAAACCTTAAAGAATTTATTATGATTTCTAATACTAAATATATAATAAATTATGATTTAGTATAAAATTTATTAAATTTATTCTGATTTTTTATATTAAATGTAGAATATGATTTATTATAAAATTTAATAAACATTTTCTGATTTTAGTAAATATTTTAAAAAACACTAACTAGTTAATACTTTATGCTTTATATTATAAAGTAATTAATTTATTCTTTTGTTTTTATATTTTGTTAATTCCTTTTTTATAAATATTTTATTTGAAATATTAAATAGAAATTAGTAATGGAATAATCTATATTAATATAATATACTAATATATTATATTTTTAATGTACATTAGTCGACATCCTATCGACATTAGTCGACATATTGTCGGCATAATAGGAAAAACTGTATTTTTTTTGGTTATTTGGACCAATTTGGTCGATATTTCCGAAATATAGGAAATGTCAACCGACATAATGTAATTTTTATATTACCATCCATTTTCATGTCGGGTGACATTAGCAACATTTGGCGACATTTGAAACCATGGTTTTAGCAAAGGTAGTGGAGGGATTATTAGACCCAATAAAAGTGGATGCCCCGCTCTTTTCCAAATGCATCAAGAGACTCCTAAGTTTATCCATTACACCAGAGGGCTGAACATCACCACCAACAGTAGCCAAATGGGCATTACTCTTTTTCCCAGACAAACTTTTTAGGCTTCAAGTGTAGATTTAATTTCCAACATCTATCCTTTGTATGTTTGGGTCTTTTACAATATTCACAACCTAGTTCAGCCCTTTCGTTGGCAATATGCTTACTTGTACTCTGCTTAGGTTTAGAACCCAAAAATGCTGAGTGATCAGTTACAAGAGGTTGCAATACCTGTTTTAGCAAAGGTAGTGGAGGGATTACTAGACCCAATAAAAGTGGATGTCCCACTCTTTTCCAAATGCATCAAGAGACACCTAAGTTTATCCATTACATCAGATAAGTAAGGAGGAGAGGGACGAATTCCAGAGGACTAAACATCACCACCAACAGTAGCCAAATGGGCATTTCTCTTTTTCCCAGACAAACTTTTTAGGCTTCAAGTGTGGATTCAATTTCCAACATCTATCCTTTGTATGTTTGGTCTTTTACAATATTCACAACCTGGTTCAGCCCTTTCGTTGGCAATATGCTTACTTGTACTCTGCTTAGGTTTAGAACCCAAAAATGCCGAGTGATCAGTTACAAGAGGTTGCATCATAGCAGCCCTCCTACTCTCCTCTCCAATTTGAAAACCCAAATTTGCATTGCATGGGTTTACTTTCTAGTTATACACCGAAATATTTTTGATCAGTTTGAAATTTTTCATTGTGTACAGCCTAAAGCACAAGAATGAGTGAGCACTATATAGTAAGCAGAGATCAAATATTAAGTTTCAAAACACCAATACAAGGGTCTCTCTTCTCTACCCCATATGTGAGTCTGCTTTGATTAATAACAATATTCAATTTAAATCTTGAAAATTAGAGTGCAATGGCTCAAGTTTCTACCTCAGCAGATTCAAAGGCTTCTTCTTGATCAGGGAGATGAAGGGTAAGAAGTCCTCCAGCTTTTCTACTCTTACCCCTACCACTAGCTCTACGCAGAACATTGACAGAATAAGAAAACCTGTTTCCTTTTGAAAGTACTTTATTGAACTTTGGTGCTTCCCATCCTAACCTTTGGCAGATTTGGTGAAGCACAGCCTTGGGAATCTTTTGTGGTTCACCCTGTCATTTTAGATAGCATTTTAGCATAAACGAGTAGGCAGCATGAGAAATCAAAACACAAAAGAAGGAAAGAAACATGAAGACAAAAACTGACATAAGGAATCAATAGCAGAATAATGAACAAGGGTTATGCTACACAATATATTACAAGCAGAAACTAAGAAAAAGGTGACTTCATGAAGTAGCCTACCTTATCTGTAGGCATGGTAAGGTGCAATTGCCACCATAATTTACCAACAATAACAAGTTCAAAAATTGAAAACTGACAGCACAAAGTATTACCTTTTTCCATATTCCTGCAAACTTTTCTGAAACCTGTGCACTAGACAGCCCTGCCATATTTTCTTTCTTTTGCAGTTTTAATACTTCAGGAGGTAAGGTTCCAGAGGAATCTTCAGAGAACAAATTATCAAGTTCTACATCTCCTGGCTCCTCACCTTCCATGTTGGCCTTCTTCTGAACAGGGACACATAGATTCCCATCAACTGTTTGTTCATTCTCATGCAAAACTGACTCACTTAATGCTACTGTATCAGTGCCTTTGCAAGCCATGGGACTGGATAATATGCTATCAGAAGCATGCTCATCACCATATTCTGCTAAGATGTCTTCTGAAAGTCCTGCTTGGTAGATTTGCACAGAATATCAAATATGATGTGGAACTAAAGTGTAGCATAAATGATTAACTGAAAAACTAGAAGCCCAACCTAAAGCATGCATCTCCTGCTTAAGCTCGCGGATCTTATGGCCTGCCTCTTCCTGGATTTTCTTGTCACCTTTCTCTTTGGCAGTTACAGCCTGTAACCTTGCAATATGGTACTCTTTTGCAATAGAAACAGCACGGCTACTTGGATCAGAGGCCTATTAAGAGTTAATGAAAAAATAGAGCATGACCAACATCAGAAAGAAAAGGAAAACATGGAAAATATACGATATAAATATAGAGCTCGTTTGGTTTGCGGGAATAGGGGTCTGGAATTGGAATGGCCCATTCCAATTCCAACTGTTTAGTTGGGCAGAATTAGATCCCATTCCCATTCCTGGTGGGATGGCATTTCCCCATTTGAGGGAATGGACATTCCCTCCCCTTCCCTGGGGACTGAAATCCCATTCCAGTTTATTCCAATTCCCATTCAGATTCCTGTCTGAACCAAACAGACTATGGGAATAGACCATTCCGGTTCCAATTCTGAGTGATTTCGATTTCAATTCCAATTCCCACTATGAACCAAATGGACCCAAGTTCTGGAAATTGCAACCTTGGTGGAATTTTAAATAATATAGAGAGCTGTATGTTTATGATGAATGGCTTAAAAATTAAACAAACATAAAATTTAGAAGCTATTACTTATAAGTGAACATGTAGACCTCTTGACCCTTTTTCAGTTGCACACCAAAATCTTTTTTTTTATCAGCAAAATAGAATTTTATTTGAAATTACGTTAAAATAAGGTTCTACAGTTTTGTGTATGGGATTAAATCTCCCATACTATTACAAATTTCTGTCCCACTTTACATTGCAGACCAAAACAATTGTTGCCTTAAAGCCCCTTGTTTAGCAAGATAATCAGCTAGTCCATTTGCACTCCTTCTAACCCATTTCAATTCAGAACAGTTGCACACCAAAATCTTATTATCAATCTCTTAACTTTTTACTTCTTTTCCTATCAGAAGCCATAGAAACTCTACTACTGCATTTCTATCAGTAAGTCCATGTCTCCAATAGGTTAGAGAAGTAGAATAAGATGGTTTGGTCACATGCAGAGAAGACTATATACAGCACCCATAAGAAGAAGTGATCTAATATAAGTCATAGGGGCCAGAACAACTAGTGGCAGACCAAAAAGGACATGGGCAGAGGTAGTAAGAAATGTTTTGAAGGAATATTATTTAACAATGGAGATGGCACTGAACAGAACAGAATGCCGAAACAGGATTCGTGTAGCTGGGTGGTCCCATATAATTGAGACAGGGCCTAGATGATGATGATGGTGATATGGCTCTTGATAGAGCAGAATGATGGGACAGAATCCATATAGCCAACTGGCCCAACCTCAAATAGTTAGGGTTAAAACTGAGTTGAGTTTCATATAAAAGAAGTTTTTTAAAGATCAAACATCAAAGTGGGGAATAGAAAGGCTTAAAGTGAAGAGGACTGGAAAAATGGAAGTGGAAAAAAGAAGAGAAATAACCAACCAAAGACCTACATCCAACCCTATTGTTAACACATGAAAACCATAATACTGATGCCAATTAGTATTACTGCTCTTTCTCTCCTTCTCCTACCTCGAAATATGCTTGCCCTTCCATCCCTAGCCCTACCTCTTCGTTATCACCTTAGAGAAGCTTGTTCTATTTAAGTTGATCAAAGAGCTCTGTCTTCTGTACCTTTTCCACTATTTTCTGTTTCTTTTTTTTTTTTTTTTTGCCAATTAGTAAAAATACAATGGATGTGGATTGAGAATGGGGTTAAATTATTTTTAATTTGTTTAAAATGTTTACTACATGTACTTTCAGTGTTTTTCACAAATGCCTAAAAGCATATATGATCCTGCAATTTACTATATGATTCACAATTCAATTCATTTCAGACTTTACTACAATTTGGCATATGTTTGCAATTTTCAGAAAATTGCATGTATAAGCCAATATGCATAGAAACTGGCAATAAATTTAGAGAAAATTAGGGATGCAAGGAAATTTCATAATGTACTATGCCATAAATACTTATGTTCAAAAAATGGTATCAGGAAGTTAGAGACAATCATAAAAGGATATCCTGATCTTCATTATTCTTTGCCCCAATAATTTACAATATACATGAGTGCCAAACCACAATTTTGTACAATATTTCAAGACAGGTAGCTAAGACTTCAATATGCAATTCATGTTTATAAAGAAGTAAAAACTACCTCCTTATTAGGACTCCTGTTACCAACATTATCTGCAACAGTCTCCCATTCATCCTGCACATAATGTAAAAGCTTGTGTTAATTCCTTAAAGGCATGTTTCACTTCAATTTTTTTCCTATCCAGAAACTAATGTTTCACATCAATTTTTTTCCTATCCAGAAACTAATGTTTATATCAATGGATCAGGAGGTTGGCAAATGCAATGGTGGATGCTTTAGCTAAGCAAGGGGTGAACAGAAATCAATTGCACTGGGCCCAATTGTAATATGCAATTTTATTGCTTTTTGTGAGAGGTAGCACTTCATGCCTCTCTACAAATAAAGGTTTCCCTACCTTTCCCTACTTTTTCCTTCAAGCCAAACACAGCCTAAGGGTTGCTTGTACTTTCATCAATTCATGGAGATTTATTGTCTTAATATTTCATTTAATCTCAAAACCAGAATCAGACTCCAAAATTTATACAATTCCTAAAATTTAAATCCCAAGGTGTTGTAAGGTATGCTCATAATGTTCGAATTGAAGCCACTGGGAGTGCCAAAATAATAGATATGTATGTATATATATATATATATATAGAGAGAGAGAGAGAGAGAAAGTAATCCATGAAAACATTTCATTCAAGTACCTCCTCCTCTTCCTGTTGTTCCACATATTTTCGAATCCAATCTGCTTGGGATGATTGCCGTGAATCAAAAGTGTCATCTTCCCATTTTCCTTTGATTCTAACAGAAACTTCTGGCATTTTATCCTCATTCTTAGTAGATAGATTCTGTGAAGGAATCCAATCTTCCCTAGCAGCAGAAATAATGCTAACAGAACCTCCTGATACAGCACAAATAAAGCAAGTTGTGACTTCCGTGAAATAAAGATACTGGTGTTTTACTGATTGTGCTTTACAGAACAAAAGAAATCGAATAATTACAAAGCTTAGTAGAAACAAGACTTAACCAATACCAAATTATTAGTTTACTACTCGTACCTTCACTTGTATACATGGAAGTCCCACTTGAGAACTTCAAAGGAAGTTCATTTCCCGGTAGGTTCAGGCATAGCCAGTCAAGAGCAGCTTCAAATGTAGCCCCTTCCTATCCAATTCAATATGGTTGAAACGGAAATTAGCTAATATGCAGAATAGAAACTCATTGAATACATAAGATAATCAAAACAAGTGGACATCAATCAAAAATGAGAATTTGAGAAGTTGGGTTCTCACGTTGAGAGCTGAAAGAGCTTGTTCGATTTGATCGGCAGTGAAGCCTTCGCAAGAGAGCTTCTCATAAATGGATCGGAGCTTTTTCGCCTTTTGGGCTTTGGAGATGGTGTCATTTGCTGGAGTCACAGAGGGAGAGGAGCTTGGCCTGCCAGAGTTGAGCAAGAGACGGCGTAGACGTTGCTCATTCTCCGCCGATATTTGGAGTTTCGGACCCGTCGATGATTGGGATTTGTTCTTCGAAGAAGATGAAGAAGCTCCTTTCTGCTTCTGCTGCTGCTTCTTCTTGGGAGCCATTTTCGTTTTTCCTTGTTACAGCCTTTTACATTGATATTTGGACAATGGACATACTAATTTTCTTGCTCCACAAAACCAGCAAGAAAATCCATTCAATGCATTGGCTTAAATACAAATCTAATTTATATCCCTGCGCTTTGAGAGACAAAAATCTGCTTAGTTGGAAATAAACCTGCAGTTTGGGGTGGGTTAATGAGGCCAATTTGGTTAAATTGGGATGGAAAATTATATATAAAAAAAAAAAAGAGAGAATAATTTGCGAGTTAAATAGTTAAAAGGAAAATACCTAAAAGGGGAGAGCTTCTTAAATGTTAAATGCAAGAAAGATCTCTTGGGCTTGGGCTTAGAGTGGGGTTCTTAGCAGGGGCGGAGCCAGAGGGGGAGTCATGACCCATGGTTCAGAAATCCGCCACGACTGTTCAATGTAAATTTTTCCCCTCTCTCACTCCCCAACCCAATGGTTGCTACTGTATAGGTCCATTTATATTTATCCCTCCTAATCCACTTTAGGTTTTGGCCCCTAGTGAAAATATCCTACCTCTGCCCCTGGTTTTTAGCATCGATGCTATGGAATGACAAGTCCATTATCTTTTGGAAAGATAGATGGGTGGAAGATAAACCCCTTACCGAGTCTAATTCCATATCTAGCAAGAATGAAACTATGAGTGTGGAGGAGTTCATTGATCAAGAAAGGAAGATCTGGAGGAAAAGCAAAACTAGAGAGATAGCCTCTCAAAATATCTAGAACAAGATCAAACCTATCTTCATCCTGACTGAGGATAAAGAAGACTGGATGACATGGAGAATGAACCCGAAACCGAACCAGCAGGGGATTTTTTCAATAAAGTCAGCTTATAAAATCAAGTGCAAAACAGAAAATAGTAACAAAGGGGACTATAACGGGAGTTGTTTGATTTGGAACATTAAATGTTAACCAAAAATAAAAGTCTGTTTATTCTTGTACATGAGGTCTTCCTGAGAACCAAAGGTCTTAACAGAGGGGTGTTGCTTATGTGGAGAAGAGAAAGACATTGATCCTATTTTTACAAGTGCCTACAAAGCAAATCTGGTCAGTAGTGAATAATGACATTTTAAGTCCCTGTGAGTTTGTTAACAACCAGAAGGGGTGGTTATTGTATAGAACGCATGAGGAGGACGATAAAAACAATTTGGAAGGTGCTCAACTAGAAAACTAAGAACCATTAAACACGTCCTTCAAGAGTTCTGTGCATGGTCTGTCCAATCAATAAAATATGAGAAGTCTTCCATTTGGTTCAATAAGATCACATCCACTGTCAACAAAGGACCCACGTACCTTGCATCTCAACTTGAAGATTGCAGAAACTTACTTTCTTCCTTTTCCGTTTTCACCCTCTGCCATATTAGAAGAGATTTCAATAGGGTTCTCAATAGCATTGCGAAGTATGCTTGCACTATACAAAAAATCTATACATGGTTTTCTAAACCAGTTTTTCTTCATGATTTACTTGTACAAGATTCTTCTACTATTGAGTAGATGCTTTGTTTCATTAAAAAAGATGGTATCATAATTCTTGGCTAAACCCCATGTGATGATAATTGGTTCGAACAACGACTCTACGTGGATTTTCATCCATTTGGTAATTATGGATATGGCCTATCGAAAGAGTCATAATTTATGGCGCCTTGGCCTTTACAGTAAAAATGTCCTAATAATCTAGCATATGAACAACTTGGTTGGCGTTTTACATAAACAAAAAGATGGAATTGAATAATTGTAAAAGTTTGTTGATGTGGTTATATAGCGTAGATGCTCGGTTCATATTTCTAGCCTATGCATGCTAGTTAGAAGATTCACTAATTGCAACAAGTTACTATAAACTATTAAAACTCTCATTTCCATATAATAGTCCCTGATGGCCCAACATGGGCTTTCCTTGAGGTAGGATTCACCTCTAGTGTGAGTTGGATGATGAATTCTCTTCCTGCTGCAACAACTATGATATGGTCATAATAACCACCAATTTGCAATGAAGAATGATCAGAGATTGGCTTATGCCTAAGGTAGTATTACTTGCAACAGTTTGACCTGGCTAACTTCTAGGATTATGATAATACGAAGCTGCTTTGTTAATGATGTTAAATGGTGTTAATGAGGCATTTTCGAAAATAGTTTTGTTCCTTGCCTCCCATATCAACTATAGAAAGATAAAACCTTTGCCAAAGGTTGTTAGAAGTAAAGAGTGAAGTATCGGTATCAAGTATTGTATCAAACAATTTGGATACGGATATGGATATGCTTGGAAAATGCATGGATATACATGAAAAATATGAAAATGCTTGGATACAGTAGGGAAATGTATACAAATTTCATAAATATATTATTAACAATAAGTTTAATGTCAAAATAACTATAAATAATGTATAAATACATAGAAATTGTATATTTTAATGGTATATATGAGAAAATATATTATAATTAATACAACGGGATGCATAGATAATATACAATTTTATTGATAAATCAATCAAAAGTCCAAGACACATATTATATGGATTTTTACAAATTAATACATGTAAAAATCCATTATTATTTTATTTTCTATTAAAGTCCAAGTTATAAAACATATGCAACTATTATATTTGAATTATTATGTCAATTTTTTTCTATTTTATTATTTTTTAATTTTTTACATTAACAAAAAATCAACTAAAAATTAATTCTCAAATGTTTGGTAAACAATATTTTCATTTTTGCAAACAATAAATATGCTATTATCAAATGTAGATTAAAATATCAATAAATAATTTATAAAAATAAATAACTTAACTTAAAATATATCAAACCTATTAAAATTTTGAAGATGCACATCATATGAAAATTCACAAATTTTGGTTGATACGCCCTGATTTTTATACCAAATCTACCCCTCTATTAAGAATGATTCTAATATAGTTTTTTGCATGAATTGAGCTGGTGATACCTATCTGTATCATGAAATTAAATGTAGGGAGTTTATAGACAAATGTAAGGAAATGATGCAACATGGAAAGACCAAATTATTAATAAAACCCAAAAAAAATGAATAAAAGAGAAGGTTGAAGGCTAAACAAATACAAGTCTCTTTAGAGAATTGGTCTACTACCACTCACCTTTGCTGCTATGTTATAGAGCTAAGTAGTCAACAAATCTGAAGAGTTCACCATCAAGTCTTCTTCTTCTATTCGATCTAATTAAACATTAATGGTCATTTTCTATTTTGTATTTTCAGGGTACAAGTTGTTGGATGACTACAACAAAGTCATTTAGGAAGAAAGCATTGACAAGTTGCAAATACATGAAGGTAGTTGTGGATGGAGAGTTGTATCTATAGAAGGAATGCTTGGAGACATATTCCATTTATCAACAACTTGCTATGAGAGCTCTTGAGAGGATATGTTCACATGCTTTACCATCCATAAGTATTTTAACCATTTCTAAATTTTATATACTGTATACTATAGAATTATTGAAAAAATCTTTCAAAGATTGAGAAATGCAAAGAGGGATGGACTTGGTTTTATATTTGATATACTATATATTGTAGAATTATTGAAACAATCTTTAAAAGATTGAGAAATGTAAAGAGGGATGGAGTTGGTTTTATATTTGCAAGAAATGTGCTAATCAGGAAGCTTTATGTATCCCATAAACAAAATTGATCTAATGTGTTTCTACTATGAAAATAAAGACAATAATTGGATGTTGGTTGTGTTGAGAAAATTAGGGCCAAGCCCACATGACAGATACGTGCATAACCCAACCACTAAATCTTATCCCCTTATCCTCTTAGTTTTCCCACTCTACCTTAATCTTTATCATTATAGTCATCACTATGGTTTATCCTTATCACTGTAACCTAATTACTGCCAAGTGTACAATTGGTTGTAACCAAACCTCTTGTAATATATAAGTACAATGAAAGGCACAAGCCCAAGTAAGCTTTTATGTCCAAAATCATTCAAGATCTTTTATGGTATCAGAGGCTTCAAGACCTACGTCCACCATGTCAACTCAATCCAATTCTCAAACCCTCTTTAATACTAATTCAATCATCACCAATGGAGGGAAAATACCAAATCTTCCCAATACATTTGCAGTTCGGCTGGATGGCTCAAACTTTCTGTTGTGGAAGTCATCTGTACTTCCTGTTCTCAGAGGCAACCATCTTTTGGGCATCATTGATGGCACAGAAAAGTGTCCACGAAAGCAAATAGTCTCATCCACTATTAATCGAGAATCAAGTGCCGAAGAAGTCACCGTCAAACAAGAATACAAAGAATGGGTGCAACAGGACCAGCTCTTAATGGGTTGGCTATTGATGACACTTATCGAACCTGTGTTGGCTCAGGTTATAGGATGCACATCATCACGATCTGTCTGGATCACTTTGGATCAGCTTTATGCATCCAAATCGCGAGTACGAATCATGCAACTTCATTTTGAGTTGCGTAGTGTGAAGAAATGAGCTCTCTCTGTCCCTTAATATCTACAAAAAGTCAAGAATCTAAGTGATAATTTAGCAGCAGTAGGGTAACCTCTATTAGACACCGATTACATTCTCACTATTCTCAGCGGACTTGGCTTCGAGTACGAGTCCTTTATCACAGTTGTCACCACTCGTGTTAATGCTACTTAATCAAAAAATCCGCTTAGGCCAAATGAGATCTTCTTTTGATTCAAATTATCCTACTGCTAATGTTGCTGTTAAGGGTCATACTGATTATACCGACAAAGGTGATCCTCATGCTCCTTCCAAACATAATAAACAACCTCTAATCATCAGTACTCACAACCTCCAAAACATTAATTCAAGTGTCAAATTTGTGGAGGTAAAAATCATTCTACATTGAAGTGTAAGCACAAGTTTGATCGCAACTTTGAAAGAGAGAACTTCAGGCAGCAAGAACAGGCATATCACACTTCAACAAATTGCAATCATGATGAGGCATGGTACCCCGATTCAGGAGCAATGAACCATGTTACATCAGACTTGGCCAACCTTAGTGTACACTCAGAATACACGGGCCCAGATCATATCAGAATTGGCAATGGTTCAGGTTTGCCTATTAAATACATTGGTTCCTCTATCATACCATCCAAAGAATGCACATTACATTTAAATAATACATTGCATATTCCCCAAATCACCAAGAATCTACTATCTGTTGTACAGTTCACAATTGACAACAATGTTTATTTTGAATTCCACCCTCATGTTTTCTATGTTAAGGATGTTCTCACCAAGAGGGTGCTTCTCCAAGGAGTGAATGAAGGCAGCCTCTACAAGCTGATCACAAGGCGGGATGGTATGCAATTAGCTTCACCTTTTGTTACTATAGGGGAGTGTACAAATGTGGACACGTGGCATAGGAGGCTAGGTCATCCATCTCCCAAGTA